AACACCCACCCACACAGTGAACATGCATGATCCTCGAACAAATCATGAGCTCCAATGCATACCTCAGATGAGCATTAATAAGGATATCCCGTCACACACCTGACTGATATGTCAAAGGAGTATGTGCCCCTTTACCAAACTCTATGGACTGTGGTCAGCTCTCCTGTAGGCTGGTTGCTGCTATTGCCCTTCAGTGGCTCCCAGGAATACAGCTGTAAGTATAATGGAATGGTCTTCTGTTTGCTGGTTTGGAAGAAGAAAGATAAAGTTGAAAAGTCCAGCACATTGTATCTTCCTGGGTAATTTTTTGAGAGCTGTCCATAAAAGCAATTATATTGCTGCCACAGTCCGAAACGTGTTGCAGAGATGTAATTGCTTTTATGGACAGCTCTCAATAAAGTGGAAATTTACCCGGTAAGACACAGTGTGCTGGATTTTTCAACCATACTGCACTAAGTACGTCGGTCACGCTGTCCATGCACCTGGAGACAAAGGGGATTATTCATGGCAGCTGTGATGTTCTGTAATTCTCACATAGGAGTGGAGAGCCTTTCCCTTATGACCTATGGTAGTGAGAGTGGGGCAAGGGCAGTACTACCTCTCGTCCCTTGCACAGAAGATGCCAAAAATGCTGCCCGACCCAGAGAAAGCCATGCCATTTGGCAGAAGAAGGGGTGGCAGAAGCGAGGAAGGAGGCTGTTAACTTTTTGAAAAGTTAGGGTCACTTCGATCGAGGGTTGTATGGGACTTGTACGCGCAGATTGCAGGAACATTTTTTGCATGGCTTTGGTGCCGGCACTGCCGGCGACTCTCCTAACTAAAAACAACTCATGTGTGGACCTCTACCTTCATCACCCTGCTATTGGAGTAGTAACATACAACACATATAAGGATATTCATGAAGATTGCTTGGTTCCCTTTGGAGTTTATATGGAGGTTGCAACTCCTTTGGAGTTTAGTGACGCGGTTTGATTGCGGCATACGCCGAGTCTGCCCTTGGTCTCCCCGTAAAGCCCCTACAGGGGTGGAACTGTTGTACAACTCAGGCCCTTTTCCCTCGCCCATAGCTCATTTGTGGCCGTGCTTGTGAACACATAGGGGGTTATTCACAAATGGGTGAAGGGTTTGGAGAAGTCAGGAGAAGTGAACAGTTTAGGACAAAATAGCTGATTCAGAAATAATCTCCAATTCAGATCACTTTCCAGTTCAGCTTCTATGTTGTCCTAGAATGTTCAGTTCTCCTGCCTTCTCCAAACTCTTCACCCTCTTGTGAATAACCCCCATAGCGTTTTGGGACTCTAATGAAAGGTTCCTGAAGAAGCAGTTTTTCTGCGAAACGCGTAGAATCTACTGACAATCAGCTATCTATTCAAGCCTGTATAACTCTGGCTAAGATATGTATACAGTTGTTTTCTTCATTTCTGCTATGTGCTAATCACTCACAACGGCAATAATGTTCTTCAACTAGGTTTTAATTATGTTATCAATAAAACAAGGTTTTTTTATCAGCACTTAGTAATTGTACTACTTTGTGGCACCTTTAAAGCCCCGGGCTCCTTTTGTAGCCATTTTTCTTTTGTCTCTATATCTATTAGGCAAAACAAGTTTTTTTTTGCATGCTGGCTGGTGAGTGTGCTGGGAAACTTTTTGCTGTTTAACCCCTTCGTGACGGGAGATGTACACTGTACGTCCAGCCACAAAGGGACCAAATGTGTACGTGACGAGTTATTTGCTGCACTAGAAGGCTGCTAACCGCTGAGAATCAGCGGTTACCTTTCAGTAATGGATGTCTAACTATCTAGAGATCCATTACTTAAAGGGTTAACCTTTTTCAGACACCCGATACCTTAATATCGGGTGTCTGAGAGTCACAGCAAAGCGGACACACATGTCGGCTTTTGCCGGCATTCTGACAGCTCGTATAGATCGAGAGATATCTCTCTCAAGCTATACTGGCTTTTTTTTTTTTTATCTTTTGACTTTCAAGAATAGATACAAAATGTTATGTATTAGACACATAATGTATCTATTCTTGAAAGTAGAATGTTTAAGTTTTCTGAAACATTCACTGACAGACGAAGAGTGTGTTTGCCATTTGTTTTGCTTGACTGATTTGGTGCAGTGACGCATGGGGGGGTCTCAGCTGCCGTTGTGATGTGCAGGGTTCCCTTGTGCGTCCCTGTGCCTTTAAGCGAAGTTGGGCTTCCTCCTGATAAACCTGCACCCAATTTTATCTTTTGCCACATGTGCTCCAAGATGGAGACTAGAGCTGCAGCTAACGATTATTTTCAAAATCGATTAGTTAGCCGATTATTAAGTTTGATTAATCGGATAAACTATAAAATAAAGTTTAAAAAATGGCTCCAGTGATAGGACTACTAGTTTGTATTGAGGTTGCAGTCCATCACAGGAGCAAGCTTGGAAGTAAAAAAAATTGTGTGGTATGCAATATAGTGAAATGTAAATTGTAAAATTATACAGCAATGAATGCAGAATGGCATCGGCTATAGAGGACTACAAATCCCAGCAATAGTACATTATACAGCACAATGCAGAATACCGCCAGCTATAGAGGAATACAACAAATCCCAGCAATAGTACATAATAGCTGGCGGCATTCTGCATTGCGCTGAATAATGTACTATTGCTGGGTTTTGTAGTCCTCTATAGCTGGTGGTATTTAGCATTGGACCACTTTATAATGTATTATTGCTGAGATTTGTTGTACTCTTCTACAGCTGGTGGTATTCTGCATTGTATTATTGCTGGGACTTGTAGTCCTCTATACAGCGCAATGCAGAATATCACCAGCTATAGAGGAGTACAACAAAATCCCAGCAATACATTATACACTGTATTGCTGGGATTTGTATTCCTATGTATAATTTACAGCACAATGTACCATCAGCTATAGAGAAATACAAATCCCAGCAATACATTATAGAGCACCATGTATGGGAAAGTGCAGGCTTACCTGAGCAGTCTTCCAGCAACTTGCTTCTGAGATCGGACCTGTCTATCAGCAGCTGTCATCCCCCACACCTGCTCCTCCTTACTACATCTCCCCGCGTCCCTGTGCCGATCGTGGAGTAGTGCACGTGACACTACTGGGCAGGAAATGTGCGGCGTGTGGAGCGTGGATGCGAGCAGGTCTGGCAGCGGCGAGCGTGAGGTGGGGAAGAGGTGCGGCGCACAGCGTGTGGAGCTGTGAACAGGGCCAACTGATCGGAAGCCGATTAATCGATTATTGAAAAAGTTGACAACTTTTTCAATAATTGATTATAATCGATTATGTCAATTAGTTATTGCAGCCCTAATGGAGACTCTCATAGTTTAGAGTTAGGACCGCACTATATAGAAGGGCCTTGGCGCGGCAATGCGGCTTTCACATTTTCTGCAGAAGATGTGTATCTAAACCTCTATTTTTAACCTTAGCGGTGAGACAAGTTTTTTTTGCATGCTGGCTGGTGAGTGTGCTGGGAAACCTTTTGCTGTATCTATTAGGGGTGCGTTGCCACCCACTTGCCTCACATTCCCTCCCCTCTCTTTATTTTGAATCCTTTAAGTTTTTGAAAAGTTTTATCTTTATAAATGAAGCAGTAAGAGTCAATTTGAAAGCAAATCAGCCTGTGGAATGACGAACCAGTGGGCGAAGAAGGAAAGAGGAAGTCTCCGGGGCTTTTAATTTTCATAGCATTAGTTATCAGAAGTAATTTTCCTTCAGCCTTTACATATCAGCCTTATCATGAGGTGATCATGGAAATCATTACATCATGTCCCGGAGAAGGTTTACCTGGAAGCAAAACTGCCCTCGGCTATCCAGTACACGTCTACTGTTCTTATCCAGCACAAGGGAGCTTTTCTGATAAATGCACAATTGTATATTAATGTGTAAGGTGATCAATTCAAACGTCCAATCAGAAGTGAGAGAAAGCTCTGTTTGGGAGCGCCCGGAATTTAGGTGCCCATACACCTTACGATTATCGTATGGAATCGACTTTTCGTACGACAATCTTAAAGGAGAACTATGAGGTGAGTGCTTTTCACTCCCCCCATGGTTCTAGCCGACCTGTGACAATGAGACTGTCACAGGTCGGCTCAGTAGATCGGGAGGTGAGCGAACACATACCGGCGTTCGCTCACCTCTCGATCCTGTTACGGCTCTCTGCTGTGACAGGGGAGGGGCTGGATTCCCCCCTCCCCGCTCCGATCCGCCAGCGCTGACTGGCGGAACAGACGGGGGAGGGGGCGGGTACAGCTGGCTCTGCCTCTAGATAGGCAGAGCCAGCTGTCAGTCACGCAGCTGGGCGGATCCCGGCACAATTGTCGGGATCTGCTTCAGCTGCGGCATCTCAGTGTACCGCGAGCTACAGCTCGCGGTATACTGAGCCTAGGGTGAGGGGAGGACGCTAGTTTGTATCCTCCCGTTACCCTGAGGAGAACTATGGGGAAAAGACTTAACCCCATAGTTCTCCTTTAAGGTGCAACCGCCAGTACTGTACAATCGATTGTCTTTCCTGCATGTTAGAAAACTTCGGTCGATCGTACGATTTTCGCAAGGTTGGTGGCGTTTCTGTACGTCAAAAGTCGTACGATTAACACTGCTCATGCGCAAACGAAAATACGCGCGGTCGATTACCGCAATTCGTCCAGGTGTTTTTTTTTAACTACCGCTGATTGAACCTTGCGATAATCGGGGCAGGATGGGTCTGCCGTACGACAATCGCACGACGGTTCGATCATTGGACGAAAAGTTCCGTCCGATAATCGTAAGGTGTATGGGCAGCTTTTGTGAGTTTTGGTAATCTCGGTAAATGAATTGTATAGGAAAAGGGAGAGTATGTAAAAATGTGAAAGTAATACACAAAATATTACATGGCATTACAAAAAATGATCATTGTTTATATAAAATATGCAACAGTTCCCCTTTAAGAACAAATATACTGAGTCTTCCTGTATTTCATTGTAATCCGGCAAACCTTTCTATTTTTTTTTTCTAGATAGAAGCTACAATGGACGCCATGCACAAGCAGAGACAGATACAATATAAGAAGACAATGGATGCAAGTACCATATTCAAGTTATATATTCCTTGTATAAGTGGACTTGTCTCAGGCTCTTTCTCACACCAGGGGGATGCAGCCATCTGGATTTGGCCGCGCGGATCCGCCGACATGAACGATCCCATACATTGTTATGGGGACCGTTCATGTGACCGTGTGGCTCAGCGCGATCTGCACCGCCCCCCTGCCCGAATTGCTCTTTGACCCTTTTTTGCAGCGCTAATCACTGATGTTTCCATACAGCTTTCAATGGAACCGTGCTGATCAGCGCAGTTTTGGGCGTTTTTAATTGCGTTTCAGCACTGAAACGCAATTAAAAACTCCCAAAACCTCCCTTTTTAAATCAGCGTGGAAACCGCGCTGATCCGCAACCGCCCTGGTGTGAACGGGCTCTTAGGGCTCTTGTCAATGTATGATCTTATATAACATCATTGCATTCTTATCGAAACGCAACTGCAGTGCAATGCAAAGGAGGCCAATCACAGGCTATGAACTGTCACGTGCACTACTCTATTAAAGTCAATGGCAATTTGTTGACCTGCGTTTGACACGCGTGTACATGAGTACGTACTTATTTAAAGACAACTTGTCTGGTTACAAAATAATCCCTTTATTTGAGGGCCTTTTAAGTCCCATTCGCACCTGATTACATTGCGCCCCAATTAAACATGAATTGGCTCCAGCTCACTCCAGCTACACAATGCTGCATTTTTTTAATGCACTGTGCTGTGGTGCAAAATGTTGCAATATCTTCTGATGCTGCGTTGGGGTGCCCGTCCAAAAGAATGACATTGTAACTTACAACGGGTGCATGCTGCGTGGCTGCCTATTGGGGTAATGCATGTGTTTTACCACGATGGTGCGAAGGAGTCCTTATAACGGGGGTGCATCTCAGCATCTACAAATCCCATCATCTGTCTGCCTCTGTGAGTCATGCCAGTCAGAGTCTTGCAATGCCTTGACTTGCCTGGACTTGTAGTTCCGCATCAGCTAGAATGCCAAGGTTGCCTATCCCTGCATCCCTTATACACACCTCTCCTACATTCCCTCCATCCAGCACTGAAGCCTCTGTCAGACTCTTTTAGCTTTAAAATCTATTGGGAGTTTCAGACATCTGTGTACCTCACTGTGCTGTGGTTCCATCCTTCGAAACCTACTAGACATGTGCACTGCCAAAAAATTCGTTTAGTTTCGTTTAGTTTTAAATTCGGATTTGTGTTATTTCGGGATTCGGGTGTGAAAGTCAATTCGGATTCGGAATTCGGACGAAATTCGGTAGCGGTAGGTCGAACGTTCGTTTCGTTTTCTGTTCTTATTCGTTTCGTTCGTTCGTGACATTTGAGGGGGGGAAAAATATTTTTCTCCTTTTCTAATGTCACTTTGCTCCAACGAACGAAACGAATAAGAAACGAAAACGAAACGAACGTTCGGACTACCGCTACCCAATTTCGGAAATGGAAATTCGGATTCGTTTGCATTCGTTATGTCTGTAATTCGGATACATCCGAATGTCCGAAAATTCGTCCGAATTTCGATTCGGAACGAAACGAATCGCACATATCTAAAACCTACATGGCTGCTGTGTCCTGCAGATAGAACGGAGGGGATGTAGTAGTCAGGGCCCCCCCGGATAAGGTGAATATAATAGCTCTACCATTATAGGGACCTTTAAAACTGAAGGTTATATATTTTGCCTTCTCTAGTTCCTTCCTTCCTTGCGCTGGCGGATCGGAGTGGGGAGAATCCAGCCCCTCCCCTGTCACGGCAGAGAGCTGTGACAGGATCGAGAGGTGAGCGAACGCCGATATGTGTTCACTCACCTCCCGATCTACTGAGCCGACCTGTGACAATGAAACTGTCACAATAGATCTACTGAGCCGACCTGTGACAATAGAACTATGAGGTGAGTGAAAAGCGCTCACCTCATAGTTCTCCTTTAACATGAAAAATTATAGCTGATGTTCTGTCCACTTAAAAGTGAACCCATGGCCAGACTGTGGACATCAAAGAATTTACATACCAGGCAGTAAATGAGCTTTAAAACAAGTCATCCCTGACCTCTAGAGCTGGTTTTATAGTGAAGTAATTCATTTAAAGATTCATGCATATCGCAAAGACTCCAAAGTCAGGTTACAGGGCCGGTTCACACCCCAAAGAGTGTGTTCCAGAGCTTTCGGCCTCTGGAACGCAACCCGTCCATGCGTTCAGGGACGGGAGGGGGCTGTGCATTAAAGTCAAAGGCACCGCAGCAACGCCACCCACCCACACTGTGATCGCCCGCACCCGAATGCGTGGCCCAGTACTGCCTGAGTTCCGGTCCAGTGCGATCTGCAACAATAGTGCATGCGGCATTTTTGCAGATTGCACTGGATCGGAACGCAGGCACCAATGTGCCACCCGTTCGAAGTGCTGGCTATCGCACTGCAAGCAGGGTGTGTGGCTGCGGTTAGGGTTGCCACCTGTCCCGGATTCACCTGGACTGTTCGGGTTTTGAATGCTGTGTCCAGGTTTCATGGCAGCAGAAACCCGGACACAAGATGCCAGGCAGAGAAGGGCAACCAAAATTAAGATAGGAGCTACTGGACCCCCACTGAAAATAGTCTCAACTGTGATATTTACATATGAATAAGCCACCACTCATTCTCCGCAAAAAAATTCTGCGCGTTGCTTGAGTGTTTGGGTTTCGCTTGAAGAAAAGGTGGCAACCCTAGCTGCGGTGCCATTGACTTCAATGCACACAGGGAGCCGGCTGGGTTGCATTCCATAGGCCGAACGCTCTGGAACACACTCTTTGTGGTGTGAACCTGCCCTTAAGCAGCTTAGAAACACCTGCTGTGTGTTTACATTAGAGTGCTGGCAGGCTGCGAAGATACTGCTTCCATAGAAAATAAGGGAAAGGAGCTGTGATTTCATCACCTCTGTTGTGAAGATGAATTTCTCCCGAATGCCAGCAACTACAGAGGTGAACGAGGGCTTGTTTTTTTAGTTTAACCAGATGTGTGGCATAACAGTATGGATGGTGACAACATGTTATGTATTCCCGCAGAGTAAGAAGGCCTATGAACAGAGATGTCGAGAAAAAGAAGACGCAGAGCAGAATGTGGCTCGCTGCAACAAAAACACTATGAATCAGAAACAACAGGACAAGGTATTTATAGAACATGAAATGAAACTCTGCCGCAATTCTGAAGCGGAACTAAGCCTATTAATACTCACCTGCCCTCTATTGATGCGACGTCCATGAGCTCCCTCGCCAGCACCAACATCCTTTCTCTGGATTCTTTTGGGCTTGGGGTGTTTGGCCCTTTCAGTTGGCCAAGCCTGGATGATGTAAGTCCCACGCATGTGCACGCAAGTTCATTTATCCCGGTACACAGCATGCTGAGATTGTACACTTTGCTACACATGCACCGCTCAGTGTATATTGCACACCAACTTGCAAGGAGGAAGGTAAGAATCATTTATTGCAGAAGAGACACGGGGGGGGGGGTATGTGTGTGTGTGTGTTTTTATATAAAAAAAGAATCGGTGAGCCATTCATTCTTCGAAACTGCATGTACGTTCATGTAACAGTGTCACTGATCCCCTGCACTCAATAAAGCATTGTGACCTTGCAACATGATGGTGCTCATCGTGATAACATGGATGGTGCCGTGTAAAACTCAAATATAGATCAGATAATCACCAACACACACGTAATAGATCCTTGATCATTTTCCTAGGATCTATTACGTGTGTGCTAGTGATTATCCGATTTCTGCATGTTCATTCATTCTGTGCAATGGGGGCAAAAATGAATGTCATCAGTACAGTATATTTGCATGATGCCAGTTGTTGAATCTGGCCATATAAAGGAGAACTATGGGGTCAGGGCTTTTCCCCATAGTTCTCCTTAGGGTAAGGGGAGGACACAAACTAGCGTCCTTCCGTTACCCTAAGCTCAGTATACTGCGAGCTACAGCTCGCGGTATACTGAGACGCCGCAGCCGGAGCGGATCCCGACATCGATGTCGAGATCCGCCCAGCTGCGTGAGTGACAGCTGGCTATGCCTATCTAGAGGCAGAGCCAGCTGTACTCGCCCCATCCCTCGTCCGTTCCGCCAGTCTCTAGTTCCTTCCTTCCTTGCGCTGGCGGATCGGAGCGGGGGGAATCCAGCCCCTCACCTGGCACGGCAGAGAGCCGTGACAGGATCGAGAGGTGAGCGAACGCCGGTATGTGTTCGCTCACCTCCCGATCTACTGAGCCGACCTGTGACAGTCTCATTGTCACAGGTCGGCTAGAACTATGAGGTGAGTGAAAAGCACTCACCTCATAGTTCTCCTTTAAGTCCAGAGGTTTAGCAACAATATCACATCTATGGGTCAGCCAAGACCACCTTGGCCCCTATCAAAGAAAACTCAATGAGGCAGGAAAGGAAATCTTTTCCAATCACGAATACCCCTATCCCCCTCCCCCCCAATAAGCTGGTGCTGACCGTGTCTGTCTATGCCAACCCACTCACCAGCCAGCATCCAAAAAAACCTTGTCTAACTGCTAAGGTTAAAAACAAAGAATTTACATACGCACTTTTGCCCCATGTGCTCCAAGATGGAGACTCTCATAGTTTAGAGTTAGGACCGCACTATATAGAGGTGCCTTGGCGCGGCTGTGCGGCTTTCACATTTTCTGCAGAAGACGTGTACTGTATCTAAAACCTCTGTTTTTAACCTTAGTGGTTAGACAAGGTTTTTTTTGCATGCTGGCTGGTGAGTGTGCTGGGAAACTTTTTGCTGTTGTAATGTATAAAGCCCTTCCATGTGCACCTTGCTTTAAAGCTGGTTATGAGTTGATGAGTGCGTTTGCCATTTGTTTAGCTTGCCTATGCCAACACTTCCCCTGCTGTACTCGTGTTTATAGAAGTTCTGGTTTAGATGTGTCTATTGGCTGGGCTTTGTGGCAGACAGTCTGCATCGGGGTTGCACAATGGTGTGCGTATGCATTTATGCAAGTACTGGTGTGTACCTGCATACAGCCATTGATTTTTATGGTCAGTTGTATGCAGCACCTGTGGCCCACGGGTTGGGAAATATGACCGAATTCTTACATTATCGGGCCTACACCGCTCATTTGCACGAGCCCTTATATCATCCTGGACCTTGCAAACTTGATGCTAATGATTCTCCACGTGGAATAGAAGTTTGGCGTAGGGAAATAAGAGGAAAGTGTATTTAATATGTAAATTTCACACCGCACCCCATGGAAAACACGTGCATCTGCTGCCAAAATACAAAACTAATTACAGGAAACCAAAATATGCCAAAGTGCCAACAGAAGTTCACAGAGCAGTAATGATCGGCATTACAAGTTGATGACTTAGGTCAGCCTTTCACAGCTTTTTCACCACAGAGGAAACCTTGAAATAATTCTTAGGTCTCAGGAAACCCTTGATAAAAATATCTAAAGCTGGTGGTACATGGTGGTGTGATCAGTGAACTACAAAAAGATAAGAAAAAGTAATGTGCCGCACTTGGTGTCCGGAGCAGATAATTTAACTCTTTGCTGCTCTACTGTATACAACAAAATGATTTTCACTAATAATCCTGAAATAAAACAAATAATAATAATGTCCAGAAGAAAAATGCAGTTTACAATGGTGGTCATTGGAGAAGGGCTTCCTTACATTGGTGGTCAGTGAGAGAATGCCTCCCTTACATTGGAGGTCACAGGGAGAAGGGTCCCTTTACAATGGGGGTCAGTGTAAGAAGGGCCCGTTTACATTGGGTGTCAATAGAAGGGCACTCTTACATTGGCGGTCAGTGGAAGAAGGGTCACATTACATTGGCGGTCAGTGGGAGAAAGGTCCCATTACATTGGTGGCCAGTTGGAGAAGGGTGCTATTACATTGGTGGTCATTTGAAGTCCCTTCACATTGGTGGTCAGTGGAGAATGGCCACCTTACAATGGTTGGTCAGTTGGAAAAGGGCCCCCTTACAATGGTGGGAGGTGGGCTCCCTTATATTGGCTGTTTCTTGGACAACAGCCCCAATACACTGCTGGTGTGTTGGTGATCATAGGGAGAGGTGGTTGGTGATCATAGGGAGAGGTGCCTTCCCAAATTAGTGGTCAGTGGAAAAGTGTCCCCTTACATTAATGGCCAGTGGGATAAATGTCCCTTTATGTTGGTGGCTTTCTTAGATTGGTGGCTTTCCCTTACGTTAGTGGTCAGTGAGAGAAATGTCCCCCTTTGTTAGTGGCTAGTAGGAGAAGGTTTCCCTTATATTAGTTGCCAGTGGCAAAAATGTCCCATTATGTTGGTGGCTTGTGGGAGGTTTTCCTTACATTAGTGGCCATTTAGCGAAATGCCCCCTTATGTTGGTGGCTTTCTTAGATTGGTGGCTAGTGGGAGGTTTCCCTTACATTGGCGGTCAGTGAGAGAAATTTCCCCCTTTTGTTGGTGGCTTTTCTATATTTGTGGCTAGTGGAACAAGGTTTCCCATACATTGGCAGTCAGTGGGAGAAATGTCCCCTTATGTTGGTGGCTTTCTTAGACTGGTGGCTAATGGAAGGTTTCCAATACATTTGCAGTCAGCAGGAGAAATGTCCCCTTATGTTGGATGGTTTTCATAGATTAATGGCTTGTGGGAGAAGGTTTTCCTTACATTGGTGGTCAGTGAGATATATTTCCTCTTTTGTTGGTGGCTTTCTTAGATTGATGGCTTGTGGGAAAAGGTTTTCCTTACATTGGTGGTCAGTGGGAGAAATGTCACCTTTTGTTGGTGGCTTTGTTAGATTGATGGATTGTGGGAGAAGGTTTTCCTTACATTGGCAGTCAGTGGGAGAAATGTCACCTTTTGTTGGTGGCTTTGTTAGATTGATGGCTTGTGGGAGGTTTTCCTTAATGGTGGTCAGTGAGATATATTTCCTCTTATGTCGGTGGTATTGTTAGATTGGTGGTCAGTGGGAGAAGGTTTTCCTTACATTGGTGGTCAGTGAAATATATTTCCTCTTATGTTGGTGGTATTGTTAGATTGGTGATCAGTGGGAGAAGGTTTCCCTTACATTGGCGGTCAGTGGGAAAAGTTCCCCCTTGAATTGCTGGTCAGTGGGAGAGGTATCTTCTTAGGTTGATGGTCATTGTGGGAAAGATTCCTTTACATTGGTGGTCTTCCGGCCACTCGTCACATTTGAGGAGCAGTAGGGAATTGTGGGGAGGGGATAATCTGTCTCTCTCTACCAATCCTGAGATTTGCATGTTATAGTAGGTGTGGCGTCAGTGTTCCTGACAACCTAATGGTACTTGCAGGAGCCTGAGCATGTCAGAATTTCATCTGTGGTGCCAAGCCGGGTATCTCAGACCTTTGATATATATCCTTTTCTTCGCAGATATATGCAAAGTTGGCTCATTCCAAGGTGACATTAGAAGATGCAGGTAAGCTATAACTTATGTCATTTATTACGTGGCGTGTCTGTGTTTCCTGTCTTTGGTATCTCTAATATAAAAGAAACGTTTGCCACCATTATAGTGCAGAGGAACCTCCTATACTGTACAATCAAAACTTTATTTACACAAATCTTATGGAACGGGTGATAACACATCTCTGAATACAACACAAAAAAAATACCTTTTCATCCTAGGACAGTGGTTCTCAACCTTTCTAGGACCAGGACCACTTGGTAACATTTGCCAGGTTGTGGTGACCCCCAATGTAGCGCTGGATTCCAGAATTAGTAAGGTGCTGGACTCGGGACTAAAAATAGAAGCACATTCACAAGAATACAAGTGCTCCACAGCCCCTGCTACCTGCTCTGTCTGCATGCAGCCTTCTCAGCCCCGGCACTGCTTAAACGCCCGCCTCCTGCAGAGCTCACATTGTATGGGAGGCAGGAAGACAGCAGCGGCTGTGAATAGAAAAGCCTTGCTGTACACACTCCCCGGCCACTAGATGTCGCTGCAGCGGCCAGGGAGTGTGTATAGCGGCACTTTTATATTCACAGCCTCTGCTGTCCTCCCGCTGACTGACACTGACGCGCTAGGAGGTGGGTGAGGAGCCTCTCACCTAGCGCAGCAGAAGTGGATGCTGCGACCCCCTCAACAGTGAGTTGTGACTATGGTTGCCACCTGTCCACTATTCACCCGGACAGTTTGGGTTTTGAATGCTGTGTCTGGGTTTCATGGCAGCAGAAACCCGAACACAAGATGTCAGGCAGACGGGGCAACCAAAATTAAGATAGGGGCTACTGGTCCCCCACTGAAAATAGTCTCAACTGTGATATTTACATACAAATGGGTGGCGCTATTCACATATGTATAGGCCGCGACTCATTCTCCCGAAAAAGTGTCTGCGCGTCACTAGAGTGTTCAGGTTCCGCTTGAAGAAAAGGTGGCAACCCTAGTTGCGACCCACTTTTGGGTCGCGACCCACAGGTTGAGAACCGCTGGCCTAGGAGGAAACCTGTGCCAAGTGAAACATGGAGGCTGTCATTGCTGAATTTAATCTGCCTGACAGTCATGGTCATCCTTCTATAGAAAATAAGTGGCATTATAAGATCAGAAAAATGGCCAGGCAACTATCCCACAAAGAGATGAGAGAGAGGAGAGAGAGATCACACTGAATCATGACATTCTATTTTTCAGATAAGACATACCAGCAGAACATCAACCTATTGGATAGAATCCGGGAAGACTGGCAGACTGAACACATTATTTCCTGTGTGGTATGTATATTGGAATATTCCTCCTCTGTATGTCATATCAGGGGTCGGCACACCAGCTCTCCTAGTCAGCTCCTATTAAGCCAGGAATTCTAGGGGAAATTTCCAACACTTTCCATAGCCGAACACTTCATCGTCTCCTGAGCCTTGTGATTGGCCCACCACTGTGATTTGCAGCATCATTGAGTAATAGCAAGGTGCAGGAGGTGGGGACAGCATGGAGTTCACCCACCCTGAGTCTAGCCAGGAACAGCAGTTCATGGAGACATGTACATGGCTTACTGGTAAGGGTCAGGGCCGGATTAAGAGCATCATGGGCCTGGTGCTGTCAGTCAGTTGGACAGGAAGCAGCAGATGCAGCTCTCTAATTAGGTGGTAACTCGCTCCTAATATGCCTGATTAGAGAGCCGCCAGGGCCTCTGCCTGATTGTGTTCAGACCAGCTGGCCCAGATCGCCTTCGGGCATACTGAGGCGATCCTAGGCGGCCGGGCTTTTTTTCGGTGGTGGGCCTGGAGCTGGTGCTCCAGTAGCCCCTATGTTAATCCGGCCCGGGTAAGGGTCAAGTCATAGATACAAGTAGGGATGCACAGATACCGGTATCAAGTACCGATTTTTTTTTTCTTTTTGGTATTTGCAGATACCGAAAGTCCCATTATGGAAGCCAGGTGGCGTGTAATGACTTGCCACCTGGCTTCCTGATTAGCCGGGAAGCCGTCCCCATGCTTCTCGTCACTATGTGACGAGAAAGCATGGAGCCGGCTTCCCGGCCAATCAGGAAGCCGGGCAGCGCGTAATGACGTGCTGCCCGGCTTCCTGAGACAGGAAGTATCGGGCTGGGCATCGGAGCATTTGGGAGAGTACGGGTACTCGCCCAAATACTCGCTATCAGTACCGATACCGATACTAGTATCAGTGCATCCCTAGATAGAAGCTTACAGGATAAGTAGAATAGGGTAGCCCATCAAGTCAAGGATACAATTCAGGATATGCTACTAAAACCATCTGACAGCAGAGTAAGCTCATCAAATGAGTTAAATGGGCCTAAAACTAGACCACATGGGATAGGCGAGTAGGATAGATGGGCGGGGCAGGCGGGTAGGATAGATGGGGGGGGGAGGACTCTCGCTGGTCTTTTTTTCACCTGTCTATGATGTATGTTGAGGGCAGAATGTGTCCTTCTTAGTCTACTAAAGAAAGTTGAGAGGCGAGATGCGGCCATTTATTTATTCGTTTTTACTTCATTGTAATGTTCTTCTGCAGTTTTTCGAGAACCAGGAATGGGATCGGATAAACTGTTACCGGAATGCAGTGTGGACTCACGTGAACCACTTGTCACAGCAGTGTGTCAGTAACGATGTGGTAAGTGGGTACAAAGGTCACTACTAAGCCCCCCACCGGTTCCCCTTACCTTGAATTAATGTGTATCTAAATATATTTATTTTCTTCTGGATAGGGCAGTGAAGGGTTAAAACCCCTGTAAGTAGTTTATTGCTGTCTGTGCCCCCTCTGGGGAGATTTATCCTCTCTATCTTGATGACGCTTATTACCGAGATTGAAGGAGAGAGAAAATCTAAAATCCTAAAGTGTATGTAAACGCAAAGCCGAAAATGTAATATATATTGCAGCCTAACAACCCTTAGATGGGGTGGCTGCATTAGTTCTCTTTATTTTAGGCTTTATTTTCTCCGGTGATCCAGCCAGTAACACACTTCCTGTCTCAGGGTGGGTCCACTTTGTGGAGGAACAACTAAGCCACCTTTGGACAGCACAAGGGTGGCTCCGTATGCCATGTACACACTTCCTGTCTTAGGGAGGGTCCACTCTATGGAGGAGCAATGAGGCCTCCCTTGGACAGCAGAAGGGTGGCTCTGTATTCCACGTACACACTTCCTGTCTCAGGATGGGTCCACTCTATGGAAGAGCAACGGAACCACCCTTGGACAGAACAATGGCAGCTTGGTATGCCATGTACACACTTCCTGCCTCAGGGTGGGTCCACTCTCTGGAGGAGCAATGGGGCCTCCCTTGGACAGCACAAGGGTGGCTCCGTATGCCATGTACACACTTCCTGTCTCAGGATGGGTCCACTCTATGGAAGAGCAACGCAACCACCCTTGGACAGAACAATGGCGGCTTAGTATGACATGTACACACTTCCTGCCTCAGGGTGGGTCCACTCTCTGGAGGTGCATCCTTCACATCACTGGTCTGAGTAAGACTATAAGTAGGGAATACGCAGACTATTGTTTGCAGGGACCCCAGAGACCGCACTATAAGTGCCAGAGGGCCCCTAGTTGGGCACCAAGGCTTCGAAGTATTAAAGATACTTATGTTCCACACACATTGGGGTCTATTTATAAACAATTGACAGGGTCGATAGCCCTGCAAATATATATGGGTGTTTGTTCTGTGCGAATATATGCCAAAATGAATGTTTATTCGTTTTTATTTCATGTAATGCTGCATTATGGCCACTAGATGGCGGTGATGAGCACATAAAATGAAATACCTTTTCTCCTATGCCCCATTTGCTCCATCTAGTGGCCAGAATCCAATATTGCATGAAAACATTAAAAACTTAATTCCACTTGTAAAGAAAAAAACTGAAGAACATTTGTTTTGGCATGTTATAGACCCCAATTTGTTTCTTTGTAAATAATAACTTTAGCCAGCCAATAAAGGGTTATGATGAAGAGGAATTATATTTAACCTGATCCCAGTTCACCGCTGTAGTCCATGCTCACCTCTCTCCGGCTCAGGGACTGTCCCTCGGCATCCTCATGTATATTGCAGGGCTATGGGCCCTGCAATAGATGTGATGACGTCAGCAGGCATCCAACCACCTGAGTGCAAAAGGTTATAAGGCTGTGGGTGCTGGTCTTGGAGCCAGCGGAGTAAAAGTCCTTCACAAAGGTCCCCTGGACAAAAACAAGCAGTTAACCCCTACAGAGAGCAGAGCTGTGGGAGTGGCCAGCGGGCAGCTGTGACCGGTCTTTATTACAGGAGGGAGCGGAGACCAGACCAGTCACCCTGCACAAGGAAAGAGAGCAGCAGTGACCGGTCTTTATTACAGGAGGGGGCGGAGACAAAACCAATCACCCTGTACAAGGAGAGAAAGCAGCAGTGATTGGTCTATATTACAGGAAGCTCCTAGTGTCACACTGAATTACTGCACAGACCTGGAAGAAGTACACAAAGCTCACCAAGAATACACGTGACTTGTATTAAACAATATTTGCTCAGCTTTAATATTAGTCTGTCCACTCATGTAATTTCTGTAATCTTTCAGATGTATGAAGAAGTCCGAAAAGGGCTGGAGGGCTGCAATATCGAAAAGGACATTGAATATTTCACAGAAGGCCATAAGACAGGAGATAAACCCCCAGGTAACCCCATTACTCAGCATGTTCTATAGAAATGTAACCATTGATACTACAGAGATAGCAATGGTTACATTGATATGCTCATTTCCTCCAGCGTACACTTGAATTGTAACATTGTACCTCCTTACAATCATGTATTTATTTCCTCTGATCTTTAGCTCCATCTAGTGGCCATGATATGGTATTTTCTCCATTTACTCTGTTCTGTATGAAGGAACCTATTGAAAGGCATTCAACCAGAAGAGAACATTGGTTTTTGCCCCGTTCTCAAAATGTACCTGCAGTTTGTCTGGAAGAAAAACCAGAAAAGCCCTAGCCCCATAGTTCTCCTTTAATCTGACAAGCATGGTAAATACTGATACACTTTCCCTTTAACTATTTTCTTTTTCTTGTTACGGAGGGTTATTCACAAAGCTAGCTGAAGGATCAGCCGTAGCTATGGCTGATCCTTCGGCTAGCTTCGGCTGCCTGAGCCCTTCGGTTCAGTAGAACCGAAGGGCTGCTGTATGGGCTATTCACTATAGCCCTTACAGCTCCCTAAGTTGGCCAAGCGGCTCGGTTGAGCCGAAGGCATATGCTTCGGCTTGACTGAGCCAAGGTGAAAGCCGGAGCGGGCCGAACGGCCGGCTGAAAGCCTGCTACTGACAGCTGGGCGGCTGGCTCCGGCCACTTGCAATGACAGATCAGCGTCCCCTGGTTACTTGGTAACCAGGGGACGCTGATCTGTCATTACAATGAGAGCACAAGGGAGCCGTCTTTGATATCACCGCCGGCTCCGCCGAGCTCTCATTGTAATGACAGCTGGTCCCAGCCAATAGAAAACAGTCGGGCGGAGCCAGCTGTCACTGCTAGCTCCGCCCAATCATTTTCTACTTTTTAAAAACTGTTTTTCTATTCTGCTCGGTACCGAGCAGAATAGCCAACCGAGCGGCATTCGGCTATTCAGTCACTGCTGTTCGGACCCTTTGAGAATAGGCCGAACAGCGAGTAGCCTGCCGGGGGTTCGGCTTACCCAATCCAGATGTTAGATCGGCTGAGTTGAACTCCTTCAGATCTTTAGTTATCACTAGAGGGATCCCCAGCAGGAGGAAGGAGGTCCTGATTCCTCTATATAGATCTTTATTATCACTAGAGGGATCCCCAGCAGGAGGAAGGAGGTCCTGATTCCTCTATATAGATCTTTAGTTATCACTAAAAGGGGTACCCAGCAGGAGGAAGGAGGTCCTGATTCCTCTATATAGATCTTTATTATCACTAGAGGGATTCCCAGCAGGAGGAAGGAGGTCCTGATTCCTCTATATAGATCTTTATTATCACTAGAGGGATCCCCAGCAGGAGGAAGGAGGTCCTGATTCCTCTATATAGATCTTTATTATCACTAGAGGGATCTCGTGCAGGAGGAAGGAGGTCCTGATTCCTCTATATAGATCTTTATTATCACTAGAGGGATCACCAGCAGGAGGAAGGAGGTCCTGATTCCTCTATATAGATCTTTATTATCACTAGAGGGATCCCCAGCAGGAGGAAGGAGGTCCTGATTCCTCTATATAGATCTTTATTATCACTAGAGGGATCCCCAGCAGGAGGAAGGAGGTCCTGATTCCTCTATATAGATCTTAGTTATCACTAGAGGGATCCCCAGCAGGAGGAAGGAAGTCCTGATTCCTCTATATAGATCTTTAGTTATCACTAGAGGGATGCCCAGCAGGAGGAAGGAGGTCCTGATACCTCTATATAGATCTTTATTATCACTAGAGGGATCACCAGCAGTTGGCTGATAGACAGCTGGCTCTGCCTATCTAAAGGGAGAGCCATCTGTGCCCGCCCCCTCCCCTGTCCGTTCCTCCAGTCAGCGCTGGAGGATCGGAGAGGGGGGAATCCCTGCAGGGAGCCGTGACTGACAGTCACGGCTCTCTGCAGGGAGATGATCGAAAAGTGAGTGAGCGACTGTAAGTGTTCGCTCACTTCCCAATCTATAGAGCCGACCTGTGACAGTTTCAATGTCACACGTCGGCTCTAACTATGAGGATGAGTGGAAATCACTCGCCTCATAGTTCTCCTTTAAGAGGTGAATGGTAAACCAAATCAAAATGAAAGAAGGGCCTTTAGATATATCGGTTGAGCAGAGTATACTCCCAAGGAGGATCTAAGAAAAATATATGTGGCTGCAAAAAACATCAATCTGGAGCTTTACCCCCCGCAGTACCTGTTCTCCGCCACAAGATGTCCTTAGTCTTCCAGGTTTAATGACACCCAGTGTCACAGCTCAGGAGACCGAGGTCAGACTGTGAGTGCAGGATGTCATCCTTCACTGTCAGTGTATTGATGCAGGAAGCAACGCTGACGAAATGCCGACCACCAGCAGAAGCCTGAAGAGGAACATGACCCAGTGCATCATGTGACCGGCCAGAAGGCATCAGAAGGTGAGTATACAAAAAAAGAAGCATCACATACTACCAATGAAAAAACACCTGCGTTCAGGGGGCGGGAGGGGGCGTGGCAGTGCATTGAAGTCAGCCGGTCCTCTCTTCTCTCTCTTTCTCCCCTGTTTCTATCTGCTGTCTCTTCTCTCACTTTCTCTGCTGTCTCTCTCCTGTCTGTCTTTTCTTACTTCCACTGCAGCAGCTTCCAAAGTCTCCTCTCCTCTCTCCTTCCCGTCTGCGGCGTCTGACACATTCAGCCGCAGGAGCACCGCTTTGCGATCTACTGGTATATCTCGATCTACCTAATGGGCACCCCTGCCCTAGGAGAACATGGAGACCAGTTTTGGGCTTTACTTAGTTCGGTCATACAACTTTTTTTAAAGTGCTGTTCTTCAAATCTGGAAGGTCTGGAAGCATCAAACGAAATAGGTTAAAAGTTAGAAGTATGAATACACAAATTCCCTTCCATGTATCATAGACCTGCCTCTGCAACTTGTGTTTTCCAGCTCCCATCCCATATGAAAACTTCTACAACAACCAGAAGAATTCAGTGCCGGTGACAAGGTTTGAGGCTTCAATCTTCTATGACAGCTGCAAATGCATTGAGTTTTAAATCGTGCTTTTTTAGACATGATATTTTATCTGGTAATTAATTTTGTCTTCAATCACCATAAAAAGGATAACAGACTGAGCTAAATATAGTCCGTTTTATACTGCACAACTATTAACCCTTTCATGACCATAAATGCCTGGATGCCCAGGCCATATGAGCAGTGGCGTCACAAGGGGGGTGCCACCATAATGACTGACAGTCATTTTGGTGTCACCCCCTTTGAAAAGTCGGCACTCAGTCGTAGAACGAGAGCCCAATAGTTTCAGGAGAGAGGAGGAGACCTGGCGGCATACCTTATCCCGCCGGGTGAATGTTCCCTCCTCTCTCTGCTGGTGTCCATCACCAAGATGGCCGCTGGCAGGTATCAATCAGATGACTGCGCACGCGCGATGACGTAATCGTGCATGCGCGTGGTGACGTCATGCGCAGTGTCGTCACAGTGGGGTGTCACCCGGTGTCCGCTCCGGGTGACACCCGGCCTTAAAGGAGAACTATGGGGTTAAGGCTTTTCCCCATAGTTCTCCTTAGGGTAACGGGAGGACACAAACTAGCGTCCTCCCGTCACCCTAGGCTCAGTATACCACAAGCTACAGCTCCCTGTATACTGAGACGCCGCAGCTGAAGCGGATCCCGACAACTATGTCTGGATCCGCCCAGCTGCGTGAGTGACAGCTGGCTCTGCCTATCTAGAGGCAGAGCCAGCTGTACCCGCCCCCTCCCCCAGTCAGCGCTGGTGGATCAAAGCGGGGAAGGGGGAATCCAGCCCCTCCCCTGTCACGGCAGAAAGCTGTGACAAGATCGAGAAGTGAGCGAACGCCGGTATGTGTTCGCTCACTTCCCGATCTACTGAGCCGACCTGTGACAGTCTCATTGTCACAGGTCGGCTAGAACTATGAGGTGAGTGGAAATCACTCACCTCATAGTTCTCCTTTAAGGTACTTGAATGCGTTTTGAAGATTTAACTCTTGAGTTTTGTGTCACTTTAGTGACACTCGGCTCCTGAAAAATGGCCCCCCCAAAGGAAGTGTCGATCTCCTGGGTCCCCCACATCTGTCCCTGGTTCCTTCTGCTGACCTCCATGCCACTCTTGTATGGAGGTCAGCAGGGGCAATTATCAAGAGTATAATTAAAGCCAAAACATTTTTTGGGTGGAGTAGGGAATGCTTCCTTGTCCCAGTTTGTGTCCCATCAAGGAGATTTCCTTTAGCTTCCTGTCCCAGAGACACAAAAGAAAGTAAGAGGAAAACCCTTAAAAAGTTGTAAACAGAACCTCCTGTTCCTGTGACATCTCTAAAATGTTTGATTTCCCATCAGTGGTCACCTGGACCACGGAGCAGACGGTCATTCCCCTCTATGGGGATTTAGCCTGCAGTAAACACTGGAAGGGTTTAAACACTTCCTTCACGCCATCCAAAACTAAACAAAACCCATTGCTTTGCTGTATTATGACTCTTTCTTTTTGTGTTCCAGGAGACTGCCGCTACCTACTCCTATCAGGGTTCCAGGTAAGAGGTTGAAAATGGACATATCTGTGTTATCTATCCCAGCTGAGAATCTCTCGATTTCATTTTCTTATTTTCAATGTGATTTCAATGCCATCGACCTTAGATGGCCATGTAACCACATGAGGTCAATGATTTCACCGGAACCCCATCCCTTTCTTTAAGTGAAGCTGCCCAGTGGGGAATGCCTTGGCCGGTGCTGTTGGCTTTCTTCCGGGTTAGGATGAGCTCAGATTCAGTCCAAACCCAAGCTCACCCTTACTCAGGACTGCAGGATCACAGGTTTTGCTAGATGAGAGGCAGCATTGCAACAAAATGTGCCTCTAATTCTGTTGCTAATTTGCTTGCGATCTATCCATGCGGCCATTTATATCACCAGCATCCTTTCTCTTTGTTTATGTGAAGCTGCGGGGTGGGGAATGCCCTGGCTGCAACTGATTGGGTAGGCACTGTCGGCTTCCTTCTGGGTCCGAATGAGTTAAAATTTGTTCTGAACCCGAGCTCATTCCTAGTCCTGAGCATCCAACTGAGAAATTTTTGCACTCCATGCAGACAATGAAAGACCAATTGAACCAGTATTGTTTTAGAACTGTGATGTGGCTTTTAGAAGTCCGACATGCCCCCTGCACAGCGCTCCAGTCAACAACGCTGTTAAAGGAGCAAGAGCATTGGTGATTGGAGCAGTGTGCTGGGGGCATGTTGGACCACTGTAGACAGATGCCAACTCTGTGAGAGCAGCAGGTCAGATCTGCAGTGTGCTGGCAGCACCGGAAAGGTGCAACTATGCATCACCCCAGTGGGCCATATAGGCATCAGCTGACCCGCTGTTCTGTGCCGAGAGTGCATTAGCTGTCACTTTCGACATTAGGATCCTCTTAAAAGTAAGAGGGTATCAGGTACTTGACTGGAGACTCAGCTGAGAAGGGGGCTGCCCGTGCACCTCTTGTCCCACACCTCTGGAAGTAGTGACAGGGGATGTAAGGACAGAGTGGGGCACAGGTGTTGGTACTGGTGGCTGGATGGTTCTTGAGGAGGCGTTTGAGTGCGTTGGACCCGCTGGTGAATCAGCAGGACCGAGATGACACCGGGACCTCTTGAAACCAGAGCAGGCAACGGGTATGAGGCCAAGGAAGCACTGGCAGGATGTCGTTGCTCCGGATGCTGATGGAGCGATCCACCAAGTGGCAGACCAGGAGGGAAGTCAGGTTTAAGCCGAGGTCATACACAGGGAGCCGAATCTTGAGGTGCTGAATCACAGATCAGGAGCAGGGTCAGGAAACGTAAGTCAGGGTCATACACAGGAGATCAGAGGTACCGAATCCGAAGGAGGAGGCGGAGTCAATTGGTCACAAGCCGGGTTCATACACAGGACGTCAGGATACAGGAACAGGGTACGGTGCACACAGGGACAAGCTGAAGACCACTCAGCAACCTGGTCATGGCTTCATGTCTGTTTAAATAGGAGTGTGCACCTGTACGCTAACGAGCGCGTTCCTGCGTGCTCACATACGTGCGCTGTTGCGTATAAACGTTCCTGTACGCGCGCGTCTAAGGGCTAAAGAGCGTTTTCCAGGAACTTTGGGCAATGGATTGCATACTTGTGCACGTTTTTGAGCAGGAGTCCATCTGCAGGTAAGTCTCTTACAGTGGGGTAACAAATGTCTACAGACACTAATCGGGGCGGCAGCGCAGGGACGAAGGCGAGGTAGGACACACGGACTGTTGAAGAGGCGAGTGCAAGACCTCTTCTATTGTAGGGACTTTTTGCCAATTTGTTTTTTTTTTTTACATTCCAAGGTAATTTTGTTCAAAAAATGTAGTTGACGCTCTTCATATTAGAATTTCCGGACGGCCTGCATTAGATCAATCTTTCTTTTTTTCCAGATGATCCAGCCTACGCAACACTTGACGAATATAGATTGCCGTAATAGCAGAGGATGTAAGTCAGCCATTGGAAAAATTGTACAAATGGGGCAAAAGTAGAAGGTCCTAAAATTTCCAAGATCGGTCATTGATACCCTAAGGGCTTGCTCACACGATGTCCGGATTCTGTCCAGACCAGGACTAGACTTGTGCGCCGTCAAAAAATTTGTTCCGTTTCGTAATATCCATTATTTCGTATTTCGTAATTCGTATCCGAAACTCAATTCGGATTCGTACGGAATACGGATTTTCGTTAGTTTCGGCACGTTTTCGTAACTTTACGAACATTCGTTATGATGAAGTTAAAAAGCAAAAATACCTTTGTTAATATTGGAGTCGATGTGGTAGTTGTTTATTTATCCGAAATACGAATCCCATTAACGGATTCCGGATCTGAATTTCGTATTTCGGACTTTAAAAAAAACTACCATCAACTCCAATATAAATGTACTTTGCTTTTTACCTTCAATATAACGAATGTTCGTAACTGAACGAAAATACGTCAACGGAATTTCGTATTTCGGACTTTAAAAAAAACTACCATCAACTCCAATATAAATGTACTTTGCTTTTTACCTTCAATATAACGAATGTTCGTAACTGAACGAAAATACGTCAACGGAATTTCGTATTTCGGACATAAATTCGGAAACTGCCATTCGGATTTCGTATGCTTCCGAATGTACGAATTTCAGGAAAATTCGTACGAATTTCGATTCATAACGAAACAAATCGCACATGTCTAACCAGGACAGCTACCTCCTGCACTAAAAACCCATCACAATGTATCCCTATGTGTTTTCTGGGCTCCAGGTCACACCAGCGCAGTGCTTTCTGTTCCAGACTGAAACAAATACTGCATGTCACATTTTTTCTGGTCCGGAACACGCAAAAAATGCGTAAAAAACACAACCGGAAACACCCCGCACTGCAGTTAACTGAAAAAAAAAGTGTATTCTTGCTCTACATACACAAAGGAAAGTACTCGTAAGGAGAGGCCGGAAGTGACCTCAGAGCAAGAATCTGCATACTGACAGCCCCCCCCCCCCGAAAAAAACTGGAACGTGTCCGGAACGTGGTAAAAACGCATCAAAAATGCATTTCACCGCATCTGCGGATCTGCACCAGAAAATGGTGTGAACAAGCCCTTAAAGGTGGAGCAGGATTTGCCTTACCTAAACCCAAAACATAAATCTAACATATTGCTGCCTACCAGTCTTTGGATGGGGTGGCTGCATTGGCTTTCTTTTTTTTTAAGCTTTTTTTTTTCCAATTTTCACCTGGCGATCAGGCCAGTGACTCTGTTATTTTTCAACATGCTTTTGCAGACCAAGCTGTCCAGCAGAAGTGGCCAGTGGAGGGTTGAGACAAACCATTTAGCACTGACAGAGCTGCTTACAACGGTTGTCTTTTATTCAATTATGTAAAACCTTTATCTACAAACAGGGCAGCCATGAGGGGGGTACGGCCGATACTCATGTAAGGGGCCTGGGGGCCCGTCCAGGACCCTTACATGAGTATCGGCCGAGTGTGAGGAGCGAGGAGGCGGATGGGCCCCTGCAGCGGAGGCCTGGC